AAGAGTACTTTGTAAATTAGAACTAAGAACAACTGCAAAGCCATCGTCAAATCATTCATAAGAGATAATGAGTAATATTCCATAAGATAATGAGTAATATTCCATAATATTCCAAGCATCTTCCACAGACATAAATCCTCTTTCACAGCATAATGAGTAATTTCATTTCAAAACATTGTTTTGCAGTGTAAATATTTTAAAGAAAAATTGATGTTTTATACCAAATAATTGCAATTATATTAAATACAAAAATACAAACCTTAAAATTTTTTTGTAAAGGAGAGTTGTGGGATGTTTTAGCAACATGTAAGGTTATTTTTAGTAGCACGTTGGTGTGTGTTGATATAGCTATTTGAAAGTCTATTTCAGTATTCTGCGTTATTGGAATAAACTGAAGCAGGCAATCATTAAAAAAAAAAATCCAGAACAAAATAATGTAAGTACTCAAATAAAATCTAACTATTATTAAACCATTTTAACAAAACAAAAATAAACCAATTATAGTGCAAACAAGACTCATAACCGTAACAAAAATTAAGTATTTTTACTTGAGCCGTAAAAATACTGGCCTCTTAGTTTTTTACGGAAAATGCAACAAATCAGGCCGTGTAATTTAAGTAGGCCATGCTTACATAAAAAAGTGCTGCTACTCTTTCTCGCTATTACCTCGGTTGCAATGGTTGCCAAGAGAATTGTGTCAAACAGACTCAAACGGACACTACTACTACTTTTATTAAGTTCAGTATTCTTAATTAAATATTGTAGCTATTGGCACTTTTATTAATTTAAATACGATTGATATTCAAAGAATTGATAACTATTTTTGTTACATTTTACAGCGTTAGTATTTCGAATTATTAAAAACCTCAAGAAAAAGAAAGCAAAAGAAAGTTTGAAATTATCTCCTTCCCTACGGGCATTTGTTTATAAAAGTTACGTTCTAAATGTCTTTTAAACGTTTTTTAAACGTCTTTTTAACGTTCTTTACGTAAGAATGTTTAAAAGACGTTTAAAAGACATTTAGAACGTAACTTTTAAAAACAAATGCTCGCTGGGTTTAGATTCTTCAGAGGTTGACAAAGCATTAAAAATTTGTATTCAATATACCAAATAAACTGTCACCAGTTCAACGAACTATAAACAAATTCCCCAGCCGGCACAATGACGTTGAAATAACGTTGAAACAACGTCGCAAACCGACCATATGCCACGTTGAAACAACGTTGAAATTTGGTTGAATTGGAAATAAAATCCGACGTCGAAAACTACGACGTTGAAACAACGTCGATGATAACGTCGTTTCAACGTTGATATAACGTCTTATAGACTACATATCAACCATATTTCAACTTTGAATAGGTGATTTATTTAATTGATACGTAGTTGATAAGACGTTAAAACAACGTTGAAACAACGTAAATTCAACGTTGATTTTTGTTTTTTATTTTGGTTAAATCCAATTAACTAAAAAATTATCTCAACTTTAACTGCAATAAAATAAAACAATAAAAAAGCAACAATTTGCGCAGAGGATATTATATTTCACGTAAATTAATCAGATACAACTAAATAGCTTCAACGGACTTTATATACAATGCAAATAAAGTAAAATGTTTGAAAAAAAAAAGTTTTATTTATCAGTAATATATTTATCAATTTATCAATAATAACTATTATCAATAGTTCCAGAACAACTAGGAAAAAGTATGAATGTTATACATCGGGTGAATCGCCTATTACGCGCCGACCACCACCATTTGATCTGTCGAGTGCGTATTTTAATAAAGTCATTATTCCTTTTCTTATTTCGGCAACTGTAGCAGTCACTTTAATTGACAAAACGCTCTCTATAAAAAAAGGTATTGCCTGAGTAACTTTGCATCAAATACATCAAAAAGTTAAAAATAAAATAGCATTAAAAAAACGAACTGTGATTTTTAAAAAATATATAATTTTACACTTAACTTACAAGTAAATACCTAATGTTTGTTCCTCTAAACTTCTCTTTACCTTTACCGCCAGCCATATTAAATTTTGATTATAAACCATTGGTCAACAACCTGCATTATACATTGTTATTATTATTATAGTTACATTAAAAATTGATAAACATGTCTTAGACAAAATACAAATTATTCTCAATGAAAAATTGCACAAACCGCAAAGGTTTCTTACCAAACCGTAATGCAAGTAAGAAAAAGAATTGATACAGGGGAAGAGTTTTGTCCAAGGAGACCACCTTCTAAACGCAAGAAAACACCAAGAGCGGACAGTATAATCAGAAATATTTGCCTGGAAAACAGAAAAAAAACAACTAAGCTTATCCATGAAGCTGTAGTTGTTGTGTCAGACCGGACCATTTGTAGAAGGCTAAAAGAAGTGGGATCGATGTCCAGCCAAAAAAGTCAAAAATTGACAAAAAAATTTAAAAATATTAAAAATAATGTCAAAAATCTTATTATTATGCAATTTGGTGCAACTTGCCACACAATAAAAACTGTTATGACTTAGTTGATGTATTGCTATAGCCAGACAACTCGCATGATCTTAACCCCATAGAAAACATTTTGAAAATAGTAAAGCAAGAGATTGGAAAAAAAAATCTTACTAATAAGCAAGATCTTATGGAAGAGATTATCAAGATCTGGCATAATAACCCAATGTTGACAGAAACTATAAAAAATAAATTGCAAGCATGCCACAATGCAATGAAGCAGTTATTGCAAATAAAAGTGTTTTTGCAAAATATTTATACTTTATATATATTTTATATAATTTATCATAATAATCAATAAATATTCAAAATGTTCAACTTTATTTATTTATTTTTATCAAGTACAACTTTATAAATAAAAGAAAAAACTTTAAATTGAACCATTATTGTTATATATATATATATATATATATATAATATATATATATATATATATATATATATATATATATATATATATATATATATATATATATATATATATATATATATATATATATATATATACATATATATTTATACCTAGTATAAAGAGTTTAGAGTAGAGAAAACCAGACCAGAAAAAGTTTACAAACTTAACTTTTTTTTTTTTCAAATGATAGACTGCCTGCCCAAACCAAACCCTTTCGATGTAGCAGCACTCCCTTGCGAGTCAGGCTATTTGTCAGTGTTGTAGCAGCACATCGCACTTGCGAGTCAGGCTATTTGATCAGTGCGATGTCAGCAACACTCCCTTTGCAGTCAGGCTATTCTGTCAGTTGATGTAGTCACGTCACTTCGTTACGAGTCAGGTCTATAAAATAGTCGATGTAGAAATACTCCCTTGTAGCAGCAGGCTATAAGATAGTTGATGTAGCAACATTTACGCATGTTTTATAAATGTTCTTTAATATAACAAAAACAAAAATACCACTAATTAAAAAATACTTTGTAGTGTTATTATTGCTGTTTTTAAAATTTTTTTAAAAAACAATAAATTTAATGTACTTCCCATTAATTTAATTGCTTTGACATTTCGACGACAATAAATACAGCTAAGAGACAAGGTAATTAAAATTGTAGTCAAAGTGACTTTTTTTACATTAAAAGCTCTTTCGACTACACTATAAGGTATATATATATATATATATATATATATATATATATATATATATATATATATATTCATAAAAGCATATGTATGTATATATAAATACATATATATGTATGTTTATTTATGTACATATATATGTATGTATATATAGAGTAAAAAAAAAGGTTAAGTATGCGTTACAAATCAACCTTTGTACTTTAAGGTTGTTCTTTAGCTCAAGGAAATACAAGAGTAAGAGAAAACAGTTACAAAAAAAATTATAATCAGACATAAAAAAAAAAGATTTATATTATGTCTGATTAGAATTCGTCAAACTTTTAAAAATATATGCTACACATATTTTTAACACAAGTTTAAAACAAACTATAATAAAAAGATTCAAAAGCTTTATTGTATAAAACTACTTTTAACAAACCTTTGCATCACATTTTGTTGTATTTGTCTTAATGGTTTTACCTCCAATTTTAGAAAGTTTGTTAACCTAAAGGTTTAAGAAAATAATTACACCACATTATTTTTAGAGTACATTTATAAAAAGTTACAAGTAGATTAACTTAGGCTAAGTTATTAATAAATACTCAATCAAAAAACAATTAAAAAAACTGCAAAAGGTCATGGTTTGAAACAACCCATCACTTCGAGACCTCACCCAAGAATCATTTAAACTGTTATCATAATCATTAAACTACTGCTGCAAGTTCATCCATAGAATTTTCAGAACTATTTGTCATGATATTACTTTAATTACTGGAAAGAGTTTTTACTAACATCTCTTTCTAACAATAAAGATATATCCGAAAGACAAAAGAACCAAACATTAATTAATTTCTAAAAGGGTTGAAACACAAGAACAAAACATTTATAAAATAAAACATTATTTCATAAACTAAATAAAATGTATTAATTTAGCAGCCAATAAAATGTGTAAATCACTGAAGCATAGAAAAAAATGTTCAGAATCTTTTCTTCCTAAATCAACTTGCAGACAGACAAGTAATACCTTGAGCTACAGTATGTCGAGTGTGCATAAAAATTGTTTTCTGTTTCTTTTTTTGCGTTACAGGAGTAGGTACTTGCTTACTATTCTGTTGGTTAATATGTTTTCTCTTGCATAAGCATGGTAGTGGCTCCTATAAAAATGAATATCAAAATAAAACTAATAATACTTGAATTAAGTATCTTTTAAAATAGTTACCGTTATCGGAATCTGATTCTATCTGAGTATCACTAGTAGTGGCAAAATCAAATTTACCACAAAACTCATGATTTTAAATACATTATATAATAAAGAATATATAATAAAGAATATATCTAAACACTGAAAACAACATAAACAGAATGAAAGCATGTCAAAAAAACAAGGAAAAAAAGTAATGACTTAATGTTTATATAAAAAAAAATTACATTATCTCCATGACATTCAATTTTGAGCAGCGTAAATCTGTATTAGTTAGATGCGGTTTATGCATTTCATTGAAACAATTTATTACATTTAATGATGATAGCCAGCACATAAAAATTATCGATCGATTTTTCTCACTTTATTTCTCTGTATTTTCTATTCAAACAGCTCGAATAAACATTTTGCTTGCCCAACTATACTTTTTCAACTGGAAAAGAATAGTAGAAAATATAATAGAAAAAATACTCATATATTAAAAATTTGTTTATGTAAAATAGCTAACAGAAAAATACAACTTTAAACTGTACGTTATGATACATTATACAATTGTTAAAAAATGCTAAATTTTTATGTTGATCCTTCTACCAACCTACTAAAGGAGCAAGCACAAATTCTTTTTTATACAACTTTACAAGAAAAATCTTTAAAAATTTAATAAAATTTTTTTAATATAAAAAATATTTAAACTCTTTAAATCACATGGATTGGTAAAAAAGCTTGATAAATCATTATTTTGTAAAACATCATCCATTTTCATACACAAATTCAACACAATAAAACTTTTCATTAGTTAGTAAAAAGCCATTATTAGGTTAATAAATAACTATTCCTTAACTGTTCCAATTAAGGTAACTCTTCCCTATTTATATATATATATATATATATATATATATATATATATATATATATATATATATATATAATATATATATATATATATATATATATATATATATATATATATATTTTATATATATATATATATATATATTATATATATATATATATATATATATATATATATATATATACATATATAAATATATATATATATATATATTATATATATATATATATATATATATATATATATATATATATATTATATATATATATATATATATATATATATATATATATATATAATATATATATATATATATATATATATATATATATATATATATATATATATATATATATATAT